GGGGGGGGGGGGGGGGTACTCATAGTCGTGCATACCGTAGTCGTTTGACCATTGACCTCGCATCCCTACAAAGCCGGGACGGAGCACGCCGGGTTCTCACCGGACCAGGCTCTCACATCATTCTTAATTAAGTGATGCGAGTGCAATCTGTATCTTTTCTCATCATTATGTAGTACCAGAAGCAACATAGACATGGACCTACTATTTGATATGATTGGGTAGAAATACGAACGGCAACGATCGGGGGAGAAAATACTGCGAAAAAGAGAGAGAGAGGCGATGATTACTATACGATGCCTCTGTAAAACAAAGTCAATACGACGACACGTACTACGTACGTAAGTAAGTCTGTCTCCTGAAAAATTACTTCATGTATAGCGGTCGAATATCATGTTATATATATACTCACAGGATGGTCGTCGTGACGTGATACATTTCTTGTTATTAGCATGGGAAAAAATAAAAAAAAGATGGCTCGATTTTTGTATTTCTACATACAGCAGTATGGACCAGACGCCGACTGTGCATAGAAGTCGTACCAGTGTCGACTTAGTTGTGCTGTCACAGCATCTTCCACGCACTTCTGTCAGTGCTGGTTTGTTGATTGGAGTCTTGTACGTCGAGATACAGCCGTGAGATTCTCGGGTTATGGAGGCAAAAGTGAACCAGAGCAAAAAATTGCATAGCTCGATTACTGCTGTGTTTTTGCCACAGCAGTATGACTAGACGCCGAAGGACGTCCGCGTACTACGGCAACGACCTAACTGGATGGGATACTTCCTGTCACGGCGAACCATAGTACAATGCGATGTAAACATCCGTTCGTGTGTCGTGCGGCTGCCACATGTGTCGACGACAGGTACACGTGGAACTCTCGCCATGTTGTCGTTACTGCGCAGCAGGCGGGCCCCTCGGAGATCTTCCACATGGTGCTACGGAGAGTGGAGTTGTGCTGTACGGCAGCTGCCACGCACTCTCCTATCGGTGCTTGCATCGATTGGAGTCTTGTAGGCCGAAATACAAGAGCGGGTTGGGTTCCCGGGTTGTGGAAGCAAACCTGCCTGCAGCAACAAAGAAGGCGGTGTTCTATTTACTACGTATCCCGCTCAACCTTTTTCTACGGTATCCCGCTCAACTTTTTTTTTTTTGCGACATGTGGTTGCATATTTCTTTGCCACTGCCGAAAAAGACCGCTGGATCTTTACGCAGCCCGTCTTTCGCATTTATCATTTTACACCGAACGACGCAGGACGGGTCGACCTTCATCATTGATGCTGTGTCTCCACGTTAAAAACCGTTCCGATCTCTCTCTACCCAGTACCTTAATATGTCCGTACTTACTTGTGGATTATCTGTTGTAAATTGTGGGAATCCCTTCATTCCGAGAGAGCCATAGGTCGGCATCCGGCCTTTTCTTTTTTGTATGCACTTTTCTTCTTGTGAAGTTTTGACGTTGCGCTTGCCATCGTCGCTTAAGTATTTATTTGTGTCTTCAAACCTTCTCAGCCAGCCTTCAAACTTCTTGTTGATAAGTCTCCGTGTGGTAACTTCTCCGCGCATGAGTCATATGCGGTCATGACCTGCACTTTGACTTTCACGATGGGTATTTTACCTCCTCCCCGTCTTGCATTGGTGAGTGAGTACCTGCGATATACGGAAGGATCGTTCCACGACGCAAACGTCGACGTCTCC